GTGTGTTTGAAACAGCACAATCCATCTCTTTAAATATATTTCTTGAGCATTTTGACTCAAGTCGTAAGCTGTGTTTTAGGACCTTCTATTTTCCTATGCCTAATTTGTTTGACACTATGTTTCTCAGGTTTCCTGTATAGTTGAAGCCCGCCGAGCAACTTTATCAATCACCTTATAGCTTTTAAGTATATCACAGTTAATTTTCCATTAAACGATGACACTGCTAAAAATAAATTATCAAAGGAAATATTATTGCCAGAAACACATATATTCGAATACACAATACACATTGGCAATTACTAAGTTAAGATACATGTAAATTTACACACAAGAATGCTATTAGGAACTACAAGTTACACATGAAGATCACGTTGAAGTCATTCAGCACCATCTATTGTTAGCTCAAGCTATATAAGTGGCGACATTCTCCATCAGCCACTTGAGAGAGAAGACCGGGAACTATCAACTACGTTATTGGTGCTTTCAGAAAACCATTTCAATCTATCGTAACACTGAGGAATATGAGCTTGTCACTTAGATTATGGAAATCAAAACAATTTCTTCGTAATATGAGAGTAGAGCACAGCAACATCGTTGGAAACAGCACGCATTTTCTCGGCAGAATGTTCGCTTTCAGCTCGTATATAAACTAATTTATGTTGAAACGTGCAACAACAACACCCCTAGTTCTTATAAAACCAACAAACAAAAACACTGCAGATGTTTTTTTCCGTATTAGGTCTACTGGTTTTACAACATTTCGCCGGCTTTAAACCAGAACATTTCTAGTTCTTGGCATTTTTCGGAATAACAGTTTTCAAACTTCGATAACAAATTTTCTATTGATTACGTCTGTTGATAACTTAACGATCAAAGGATCAGATATCAGAATAATCAGAGATTCATTTTTCACTCAAGTACTGCTTATTGTTTACATTTACTTAATCGTAACACCAAATGATAAACTTATATTTATTTGTGAACAGTTAAATCGAAAGGAGGTTAACAAAAGCCTATTTTGCCCTACATTGTGACGGGAGGAATTTTTCAGGCGATAAACTTGTGTGCTACTTGTCTTCGTTTGTTGTATGAAATACTGTATACGTCTTCGGAATAGCCAAGGAAAATACAGATCCTGCGTGGGGATGCCATAGGCTTAAGCACGTTGAACATTTGAAAATTTCTAACACCAAAGGAGTGGCTTTCTTTCTATCCTTACTAGCAGAGTTTGGAGATTTCTTGCCCCTAACCTTTCGTTTGTTTTTTTTTGAATTTCTCAAATAGCGAAGAGAAACTTATGTACATAACGTGGTAGTTAGATACAGCTCTTATGGCACTAAGAGAAGTTGATTTTGGTAACGTGTAAACATAGTTACAGACCTTATCACAGTAATAGAAGTTGATTTGGGTAATGTAGTAGATAGTTACAGCCTCAATGACACTAAGAGAAGTTTATTCGGGTAACGTGGTAAATAGTTACAGCCCCTAGGACACTAAGTGTTTGTAAATGGTTCTTTGATCAATGTGTACATTCAACTAGTTAATTTAATGACCAAGTTTTAGTGGTTAAAGTAAATAAAACGAATTATTAATTAGTTTGTAATGATGCTACAGTCTCGAACAGTGATTGCTTAATTCAGTACGTTTTGATTAGCTCTTTTATATTTTGCTTGCTTCCTTAGTCAACATGTTTTATGTCACCTGCTGCCTAAACAGTAGGCCACATTATGAAGTCGGTTATCTGGACCAATGAGTATGCTGTAAATGTTAAGGTTATTAACGAGTTACAACTTACGTACTACTTTAATCGTAAAGACATTCTTTTTTAAGCTTACTAAAATATATGAGGCATACACTCATACCTCCTGTCGCTTTCGCTTCAAATAATTTCCGTATTTCATTGGAAAGTGAGAACAAAGATTTTTCTTGTGTTTTGTACTTTTAATGTAATAGCATAATGTGCTTGAAAATAAATTATGATTATCAAACATTGTTCAATTTGTCTTCAAGTTTTTGCTTTGAATATTTACTTGTCTACTCGCTTGCTATAAAACAAAACAAAAACGAGTGCATCTTTGTTCATCCTGTCTTCAAGAGTCGAGTTTTTATTATATCTAATGATTCGGTCACTCGCCTACTATTATGACAACAGTTAGCTTGTTCAATCGGTATTGAAGAACTGACTTCTTATTCTGCCTGTTAATTTAGACATACTGTTTGCTTGTAAAATTCCTTATAACAACGATTACTTTCTTCAGGCTGCCAAGAAGATACGGTTTTGTTCTGTTTCCTGACTTTATCACCTTAATGCTACATTATGGAAAAACCAATACCATTTCTGTCTGTGTTCATAAGATTAGTTAATTTTTGACTGATGATTTGGCAAGTAGTTCGTACATTGTCCAAAAAACACACAAGAAAACCAAACAATATTTTGATCATTAGTTTGGAAGAGTCGAACTTCTGTATTGTTTTTTGTTTGAATTCTCGCTTTCTAGGTTACCTAAAAAATGGTCATTCGCATATTCTCTTTTGAAGAGCCAAGTTTTTGTTTTGGCTGTCACCAAAGTAAGAATACTTTATCTTATATATCTTTAAGAACCAAATTTATATTCTGCTATGTGGTTTGGTCACTCGCTTGCTTTAGATTGGCAAACAATGCGATTACTTTGTGAAGTATATTTCGAAAATGGAGTTTTTATTCTGCATTTCTGGTTTAATGACTCACCTACTACATTCTCAAACATCGATTACTTCGATTCAGTCTGAAGATATATATTTTAAGTTGCGTGATGATTTTAACATTATTGTTGTATTGTCAAACAGCGACTAATTTGTCTAGTCTCACTCGAAGAGTCGAGTTTCTATATAGATTATGCCTTAAGATTTGGCTCAATTGTTACGTTTTGAGATAGTGATTATTTTGTTCACTCTATGTTCAAGAGTCATGTTTGAGGTTCTATTCTGCTGTGACTTTATCACTATCGCTTCACTGTTAAATAACTGTTACTTTACGAAGTTTGTTTTGCAAAATGGAATTTGTATTTTACCTATTGACTAAATACTTCGACTGTAACATTTTTAACATTGATTATTTTGTTTAGTTTGTAATGATTCTACAGTCTCGAACAGTGATTGCATTATTCAGTACGTCTTGATTAGCTCTTTTATATTTTGCTTGTTTCCTTGGTCAACATGTTTGCTACGATATCAGACAATAACTAAATTGTTCGGTACATCTTGATGAGTTGATTTTTATTTTGCTTATTTCTTTGAATAAATTGCTATATTGTCAAGCAATGACTACTTTATTAATTAATTCCCTCTTGCAGAGTCAAGTTTTTAATATACCTGATGGTTTCACCTCTTGCTTGAAGAACTATAAAACAGTGATAAGTACAGTCTTGGCCAAAATATTTGCATACTGTTCTATATTGATGTTATTGTCTACATGCATGGAGTAGGTATTGAGTAAATGCCCGATTGGTAACAGAGAAGGTAGCATATAATCGAACAAGCATGTACGAGTTGTGATTCTTTGGTTACTCTTTTGCTGCATTATCAAAGAGTAACTGTTTTTTTTCAGTCGTTATTGAAGAGACTCTATTTTATTCTTCCTTATTGTTTGTCCATTCACTTGATATGCTGTAAACAAAAATGACTACTTTGTCAAGTGTCTTGAAAGGTTGGGTTTTTCTACTTGTTTGCTTGGCTGCTCTCTTACTTCATTGTTAAACAGTGACTACAGCTTTGTTTAGCCTGTTTTGAAAGTCAAGTTTCAGTTTTACTTTATGATTTATATGGTCACTTGCTATATTGCCAAAATGCGATTGCTTTGTTGGATCTTTCATGAAAAGTATATTTCTAATTTCTTTGTTTGCTTGTCTGTTCACTTTATATATTGTGAATCAACAAATACTTTGTTCAGTTTCTCTTATTTGTCTAACTTGAAGTGTGGAGTTTCTATTTTAGATGATGATTCGGCCACTCGCTTAATACCTTATCAAGCAATGATTACTTTGAATATTCCGTCTCAAAGAGTTGACTTTCTTTTATCTGATGGTTTGGCCACTGGGTTGCTATATTATGGAACAATTATTACGTTTTAAATATGTTAGAGAGCATAGTTTCTGTTTTTCCTGGTGTTTTGGTCGCTTGCTTGCTACATTGCCAAACAGAAACCAATTTGTTCAGTGTCTCTTGAAGAGTCAATATTCTATTCCGCCTGATGTTTTGACTATACCTTGTATAGTCTGTGTTGAATCGTGGAGTTTCAATTCTTCCAAATGATGTAGCCACTCACTTTCTACCATATTAACCAATTATTACTTTTCCTCAATTCGTCTTGAAGAGTGAATATTCTGTTGTTGACTCGATTAATCGCTTGCTACAATGTAAAACAGCGATCAGTTTGTTCAGTGTATCGTAAAGAGTCAAGTTTTTATTTTGCTGCTGTCTCGATCAGTCGCTTGCTACATTGTCAAACGACTATTATTTTTATCCAGTCTTGAAAAATTGAGTTCCTGTCCTGTCTGATGGTTTTGGCCACTTGAATGCTACAATGTCAAACAACGACTATTTTATTAAGTCTGCCATGAAAAATCGAGTTTATATTCTTTTAGACTGCCAACCAGAATAATTTTCTCTAATGTATTTGGAAAGTTGATGTTTAAGTTCTTTTTGTTTACTCATTATATTGAGAAATGATTTTCAGTTTGTGGATCTTAAGTGAATATGTCTAGCATCCATTCTACCTAATGGTTTTATTATCTTGATTGGTAATAAATTATTTTCTTAGCTCGTTTGTTTTGTTTTGATTATTGTTCTTGTACAGTCCATTCAGTGAAGGAATTTTTTTATATCTTTTTTGCCATACTTAAATATCAAACATTGTTCTAAAAATAAAGTATAAAAAGGAAATACAATGGCATTTTTAACAGTTTTGTTTAGTGTGACATAAAGAAAACGACGATAGAACACGCGCACTAGTACCTTCAATCTTACAACAGGGTGTTAGACGTATGAGGTAATTGTTTGGCAACAGTGGTGCTGGTGAACGACTTGGTCGGAATTTGACATTTGGTCCTGAGAGATGATGACGAAATACAACATAATAAGTATTGCCGAAAATAACTGCGAAATACATCGCTTAGCAAGTAGAGAGCTATAGGATTAAGACAGCTATTAGCAAAAGCAAGCACAGAACTCATAATCTTCCACACATGCCAGAAGTGGTTGTATTGTTCCATAGCATTGGGGTTGAAGTACCACCACATCATAAAGACTTGGTTAGGGAGAAAGCAGAGAGCAAAGACCACCACAAAGGCCAACACTACCTTGGCAACCTTGATCCTGGTTCTCAAGAGACGAGCGTGTCTCTCATTTTGGTCAATCATGTATTGTGAATTGTAAATTAAACTTCGAGCCATTAAAGTGTAACAAATTCCAACAATTAACAGTGGAATCATATACAGGAACAGAAACTTGATTAAAACTATGGTTTGGGGGTACCAGGGAAACATATCTTGTGGGTATGGATAGCAGATATATATGATATTTTCTTGAACATCTAATTCCAGCAAGAAAGCGAAACAAGCACCTGGAATAGCCAGAGCAGCAGACACAATCCAGATGACCACAGTAGATACCAAAGTCATTGCATTAGGATATGTTCCTGTTTGCTTTTTAATAGGCATTACAATAGCTACATAGCGGTCAATGCTGAGTATGGCAAGGTTTAGGGCTGTAACTCCAACGGACAAGTCTTTTAGGAATTCGCTAAGCTTACATACGGCAACCCCATAGGGCCAGCTTTCGAAAACGTAGATCGTACTTATGAAAGGAACAGTTCCCGTGATGACCAGAAAGTCCCCAACTGCAAGACTAATGATACAGGTGTTGGGCGTGGTCCTCATCGTTTTGTTCTTTATGAAGGTGAAAATCAGAGTTCCATTCCCGATTACACCAAACAAGAAGATGACACCAAATACTGCGGGTACAAGGTACGTATCTGTTCGTTGGTTGTAAGGTACATAATCGCTGTTATTGAATGATACATTGTTGTTAGGTGCTGGGATCTCAGAATCGGAGATATCGACATCCATAGTCCTGGATTTTACCTGAAAAATGTTTGTGCATGCTATAGTTATGTTGAATACTAAAATGAAATAAATTCAATGTATTACCAAAACCATATGACATCATCTTATGATTTAAATAACATGCAAAGCTCACTCAGTTGAGATGTGGCCTCAGTTAGTGGATAATCAGTCTATCTTTTATACAGAGACTACGTTAATCATTGGTCTTAGTTAAGATTTTAAACTTTGATATCTGCATGTTCGTTCATATGAGACTGTAGCTTTCTTATGGCAAAAACGATGAAGACTTTTCTGCAACAAGGACAAATAGATGGATAAGCCAGCTTATCTGTCTTATATGATGAAATTCTATCTTTTTATATGGAAACAATGCTACAAAAGATATATTGGTTTACTGTACTTAATTTTATGTGCGAGTAAGGTTGATAAACAGGATCATGCAGTTTTTTAAAGATCTTTACTGAAAAAATCAAAATAATGGATATGAAGGAACAGGAACTTTATATTCAGATGAATTTAGAGCGGTAGATTTTGGGTTCGATCTCTGTGAAGGACACATCGCTCAAACCAACAAATATTAACACATTATTCAATAAAGTTCAGTTTATTTAAATTGCAGTTGACCATACTATCTTTCATACAGATACAGACATACCCTTTATGCCCAGGAACTTTATGATTTTATCAATTTATCCGTGCAAAAATTAAGATACCATAGATTTTATAAGCAAGAAGATTCAAGCTGTTAATTAGATTTTTGTTAAATAATATTGGTTAGGAACTTGTGAAATTGAAGTAAAGACGTTTGAGAGCCTTTTTTATGGTGAACTTCAGATTCTTATTTAAATTTATAGCTATGAACCAATTTGTCTAAAGGAGCAAGTTTGGGGTTTTATATTTGTTATAAGCTAAATACTATTGTTTTTACTATTATGTTATTCTAAGGCTGAGCAAGATGTTTGGAATCTTTCAAAATGATAAAATTCCAGCAATTTATCTTCAGCAAGTTTGGGGTTTTATATTTGTTATAAGCTAAATACTATTGTTTTTAGTATTATGTTATTCTAAGGCTGAGCAAGATATTTGGAATCTTTCAAAATGATAAAATTCCAGCAATTTATCTTCAGCTCTAGAGGGCACGGCATGACCAGGTTGTTAGGGTGCTCGACTCGCAATCTGCGGGTCGTGGGTTCGAATCCCCGTCACACCAAACATGCTTGCCCTTTCAGCCGTGGGGGCGCTATAATGTGACGGTCAATCCCACTATTCAAGACGAAAGGTGGAATACTTTCTAAACGTCGTCCTCTACATTTGTATGTTTCTACAACAGGCGGTTGCTGTCCATTTGAAACTTAGATTCAAAATTTATCTGTTTTAAATACACACGCTTAGTAGTGCATAACTCTGTTCCATTGTTATTATAGACTAAATCAGCAAGTACAGTTTTCCTAAAGGGATGCAGGTAACCAAAGACCATATCAAAAATAGCACGATAAACCAAGTTATCAGTCTTTTGGTTTGTATTTTTACTTGAGTTTCCAAAAGAATATAAATTTTAGTAAATTTGCCACAAAATCAAATTAAAACCACTGCTAACCTATTATTATAAATACTAACATGTGTTTGTTTGTTTTGAATTTCGCGCAAAGCTACGCGAGGGCTATCTGCGCTAGCCGTCCCTAATTTAGCAGTGTAAGGCAGCTAGTCATCACCACCCACCGCCAACTCTTGGGCTACTCTTTTACCAACGAATAGTGGGATTGACCGTCACATTATAACGCCCCCACGGCTGAAAGGGCGAGCATGTTTGGTGTAACGGGGATTCGAACCCGCGACCTGCAGATTGCGAGTCGAGCGCCCTAACCACCTGGCCATGCCGGGCCACTAACATGTGAAACGATTGGTTTCAATGACCATTCTTTTTTATGCACTTTAGGAATCCAATAAAAAAAAATCGCCAATGGCTCCATGATTGCTTAATATTTAGATATCTGTTTGGATTGTTTAATTTTCTTTTTTAATTTTACTAAATATCATTGTAATTTAATTTCTATAGTATTATCGTGATTCCGGTATAGATTAACACATTTTAGTTGTATCACTCAATACTGTCAGATTTATTCATATAATCTAATTTATCCAATAAAACAACCCTGTTTTCTACATCAGGTTTAAGTATAACAGTATTATCATTTTTACTAAGATTTTTCAATGCCCATGTGTCTTCTTTATTTACATTTAAAGACCTATATTCAGAGCTGTAATTGTTAAACGAAATCAGAGCTATTCCACTTACTCGAGGTTTAAAACTGTTGAAAGATTCACTACTTTTTTATCATATAAACTGTTTTATCAGTTATCAACTGCTGTAAAAACTGCTAAAAATCTAAAGAAAAATATTCAAATACCAATTTATTTAGTATACTGAATATTAAACAATTATGTAAAATTTTCATTTTTTCAAGTTCACACAACGTGTAACGTGAATTACGTTAAAAATCACGGTATTTATAGATTCCCTTCGTGCATAAAAAGCATTGTCAATTAAAAACAATATATTGAAATATTCTAGGATAAATATTGGGTTATTTTAGGCAATGTAGGCATGGTATAGTTTTCGTTTAATGAACTACTTTTGCCTGTTTCTGGGATACAAAAATAGCCAAAACTTCGTCCCACTCCAGAAACAGGCAAGAGCAGCCCATTAAAGCCAAAACCCTACTAGTTTAAATCTAAATATATATTATTTTACAGTTTTTAAGGTGTACATAATTGTGTTTTTTGGTATGATTATTTTTAAGTTGTTTTTAAAATATATTATCATTTCTAGATTTCCAAAGAATGAGCCTATTGCCAGTAGGTGATACAGTGAACATGCTTTAAAACAATGGAAAAAATGAATTTGATTAGATTTTTGAAGGACAAATTGCACTTAATTTTTTTAATAATTGCCAACATTTAAATGTAATTCCAAAGTTTCTTAATTTTAATGCCTCTATATCCCGAGTTTATCAGTCTAAGCAATATCACAAATTTCAAAGTATGTTATTAAATATTTAAATAAAACAACATGGTTTATAAACTTTTACTACGCCATCAACATCAGATTTTTATGAGTGAAACAAATTACTAGCTTAAATTTGAGTAATTTACAAAATAATTCAATTTTACTTCAGTATATTATTGAATAACTTTTAATAAGACATCCTGATACCATAATTTCGTTAATCATTAAAGTTATACGTTGTGTGAAATTAAAAAGAAAGTTTAGGCTTGTGATTTAAAATGCAGTCTAATAAATGTATTGAAATTTGAAATTTTCTCTTTTAATTTGAGCAGTTCTTTTAGCAGTTATCAGAACAAACTGTGGTCAGAAGTGGTGAACTTTTCAGTGATTTACAACTTAAATCATTACAATCCAGAATATAGTTTTTAAGCCAAAGTAAAAAATAAAAAATAAAAGCATTTAGAAATCATAGTAAATAAAAATTTTTGTCAGCATTAAATAGGATAGAAAATAATAATGTTGTATTAGATAGAGTAGATTATATCTGTAAAGTTGCCAGTATCTTATTGAAGTAAATAGGGATCATACCAAAGTTTGATTGCGCTATATGGCCTTTATAATAGTGTTAGCAGTCTTTTTAGTTAGATTTTGGGGAACTTATTAATTACTTTACACGCTTTGAAGGTAGTTTTGGATTTTTAAAGTATAGAAACTAGTTTTATAGTGAGGTTTGACGTGCTAATTTTGATTTAGAGTTTTTGTACAATTACATCCTTAAGAAGAAACCACAAGAGTAAGCGCTGACTTACTTAATAATGACAATAAACACGTGTTTTTAAACTTCCTTGAAGTTTTGACAGAATCTGTTGGTTTAATAACTTTCTCTGGGATAAAATATATGATGTAACTAGGGCCTCATGATTAGCTACTTTTTGTTTAATACCTTTAAAATTCCTAACAAGTTGCTTAGATTTCAGAATGGAAACATACCAATATATGTTTTATTGTAGAACATCAGAAAAATTATAATTTTTAATACACGTTGGTTTATCACTAGAAAGGGAAATTCTAATGGGAATTTTTGCAACAAAAACATTAATACTTCTTTAAATTTCAAGAACACCTCGGGGAGATTATTTAGGACACAATGAAAGAGAGAATATAGCAAAACACTGGCTAACACACTATGGATTACTATAAAAAGACACCCACACTTTCTCTATTCAACTCTAGACAGAAGATATAAATGAGCTATAATTAGAAATGCAGAAACTACAGATCAATCAGTATTGAGGCCGGGCGTCGCCAAGTGGTTATCGTTCCAAATTTTGGGTCTATGGTTCGTATCCCGGTATTGCAAAAAAAGACGAGTACCATACCATGCTTTGGGGCAGTGGGGGAATAGTTGTCTAACCTCTAGTCTTATTAATTTAAAAGTTAGGGACGGTTGATACACATAGTCTTTATGTAGCTTTGTGGGAATATGTGAAACAAACAAAAGATATAGGGGTTATAATAAATTATACTTGTCATCAGCCTTATAGTAGGTATTCTCACCATAACAGATACAGATGTTGGACAACTTCATTTACCAGTGTGGTTTATTTACATATTATTATTTTTCTATGACGACATTTCTTAAAACTTTGAAATTTTATCCAACTTTTTCATCTTAACTATTCTATTTTTGCTATTACTCTTTAAGCAAAAGTAAAACATTACCGCGTGTTTAAGATATAAAAGTACATTTTAGATTATAGTGTTGTAATATTTGTTTTTGTTTGGGAGTGTTTCTAGCTATTAAGACTTATTATTCCAACTGTGATGCTATAAAATACTATACCCACAAGACGTAAGTTGAAACGTTGATAAAATTGTTAAAGTAATTACTGATGCTCAAGTCAATTTTACTTGTAGAATAAATTTTCAAAGAATTACCAAACTGTTTCGATCTTGTAAACTCACATCACATTTTAATACCAAAGAGATACTGGAT